GGGGGGGGGGGGAGTGGAGTAGCATATTCTGTTTCCCAAGGAACAGATTTTAAAAGTCACCAGTGTCTTGACCCAAAGGAGCCTTGGTGAGAGCATTTCCCACTTCACAGCGGGGGCAGGTCAGCAAGCTGCTGGGGTAAGCAGAGCGCCAAAGCTAGAGACCGAACTGTCTTGGGGGCTGAGAGAAGATTTGAGCAGATGCATACCATTCAAAACCAGCTCATACCCTGATTTGCATATTTCCCACCCTTTCTTTCTTTCCTTCTTTTTTCCTCTCTTTTTTTTTTTTTTTTTTTTTTTTGAAGTTTGTTTATTTTGAGAGAGAGCGCGAGCAAGCAGGGGAGGGGCAGAAAGAGAGGGAGAGAGAATATTCCAAGCTGGCTCTGCACTGGTAGCTCAGAACCCGGTGCCGGTCTCGAACTCACAAACTGGGAGGTTGTGACCCGAGCCGAAACCGAGAGTCAGATGCTTAACCAACTGAACCACCCGGGTGCCCCATTCCCGCCATTTCTCTGTGCGGTGCCCCTAGGGCAGGGGCATCTCCTGCAGCCCTTTTCCAGCCAACCCAGCCAGGCGCAGTGGTACTCAGCATACCCTGCTTGTGGAACGCTCTCGGTGGGCCGGGCTGGCTGCCCTGAACAGGTGGCGTGTCTGGGTTGCTATTGGGTATGATTGGAGGGGTCCCAGAGGCCTCTCCAGTCCTCCAACACTTATCGCCTCTAGCCGCCCTGAAATGTCACGCAAGCCTTTCTCCAGGGGGCCCCTGGTAAGCACTGCTGGGAGGAGCAGTGACGGAAGCCATCGACACCCAAGTATCAGCCAAAATTAGGCCCCAGGAGTGGGGCGGGGGACACGGGGGGAGGTCCCCGAGAGGATTGGAGCAGGGGCCACTGCTCAAGAAGGCAGATCCCTGCCGGCGCCTGGAGCCAGGCTGGAGCCAGAGGGCACCTCACCAGGGCCTGTGGAGGCATGTTAGGGGAAGCTGGGAGTGCCCAGCAGCTGCAACCTGGATCATCTCCTTCTCTAAGTTAGACTCAGGGTCAGCCGTGGAAGCAAGGGAGTGGGGAGCAGGCCCCCGAGGGGCACCCTAGATGACTCAGGAGCAATGCCCTCCCAGCCAAGTTGCAAGGGCCACCTGTCCCAAGGCACAGAGAGAGTATAGCCCTCTTCCCACCTCTTTTCTTGTTCCTGCCTCTTCCCCCAGAATGCTCGTCTGCTACCTCTGGAGTTTCTTTGCCAGGGCAGTTGGGCGGGGACCCCGAGGAGCCCTAAAACTTTTTATACTTTTTAAAGATGTGGTGAGGGAACAGAAGAGAGCTGAGCCTACAGGATGGAAAGCATTTGCTTGGTCCCTGGTTGGCCCTCTGAAGGGAAATCTGCTTTATGGGGAAGAGCATTCTGGGCGTCGTGACCACAGTTCTAGTTTCAGCTTTGCCACTAACTACCTTGACGTCTTGGAGAGGCCATGTCCCTTCCCTTGGGCCTCTTCTGAAGAATGATCAGCAAGTATGGGTGGTCACTCAGCAGCCAGTAATGTGAACTAGATCTCTGCTTGATGGGCTAGTGAATAGAAAGGCATATTGGAACGGGTCTTAAAAGCTGGCTAGTAGGTGCTTCAAAGATGAGGGTTCTTGCTACATTTGGTGATCCCTCCAATACAACAGTGGGGCAGCGGGAAGGTCATATGGCACAGGGATTAGGAGATTGGACTTTGGTATCAGTCGGACCCAGTCTTAAACCCTGATTCCACAGTTTGCCTTCTGTGTTACTTTGGGCACGTCACTTTTCTGGGTCTCAGTTTTATTTTCTGTAAAATGGGCTTCAGACCATTTGTCTACATGTATAGGACTGTAGATAAGACAGTTCTTTTTTTTTTTTTTTAAGTTTTTATTTACTTATTTTGAGAGAGAGAGAATAAGCAGGAGAGAGGCAGAGAGAGAGGGGGACAGAGGATCCGAAGCAGGCTCTGCCCGATGTGGGGCTCCAACTCAGGAACCATGAGATCATGACCTGAGCCGAAGTCAGATGCTCAACCAACTGAGCCACGCAGGAGCCCTGACAAGAGATAGTCCTTCTAAGCCCCTTCACACAGTAGCAAATACTCACGAAACATTTAGCCAGTGTCAAGAAGTCGATAGATAAATAAGAACAGGATTGAATGCCGATGTTTTCTTCCAGGCACACTTCAGAAAAGCACAGGCCTTGGCCACCTTAGGCAAGGTGGAGGAAGCACTAAGGGAGTTTCTATATTGTGTGTCCCTCGATGGAAAGAACAAAAGAGCAAGATCTGAAGCCCAAAGGGTGAGTTGAGATGGTATCAGATCCAGCTGCCCAGCGGGCTCCCACTTGTCTGTCTTGTCCAGGGAGGGACTGAGGGAACTACCCTCCCTGGCATTTAGGGCCCTGAGTGGGTGGCTCCCTTGGTTAAGGGGGCAGGAAGGAGACACAAGTGCCAATTGATTGCTCAGAAACACACCGTCCTCTTGGCGTGTGCAATCAGTTTGAGCAGTTCCTGCATTTTTGTAGGAGGCTCTGAGGCATGTTCTTGCTTCTTAAACTCAGGGTCTGAGCTGTGAGTGGGAAAACCACACCAAACCAAATCAAGCCAGATAAGTTAACAGGGGGATGGAAGATTCTGGAGATTCTGGCTGTTGACCAGAGGTCAGGGGTGTGGGGCTGCCTGCGGTTGTAGAACTTTGCTTTGGCTGAGTCACGGCCTCACCGGACACACAGGACAGCCAACTCCTCACCAGGAATGTTGGTCACCATCTCCCCTGCTGTATGCAGAACTCTAGCCTTCAGCCTTTGCTAGAAATAGAACACACACACTGTCTCACAGATGTAAGTCAGGGACCATTACGGTATAATGCAAGCAGCCATTCCGACGCTTGAGTGCCAGGAGAATGTGGCTGGTGTGTGTGTATGTGTGTGTGTGTGTTTAATTCATGAGATGTTTGCACTGGTGAAGGGCTCAAGGGTCCTCAGTTCATGGACGTCAGTGCTTACTGTTCTGCAGTGTGCTTTCAGACTGTGTGGCCAACTGGCCTAGAAGTTGGATGCTGACAGACAGTGGTCGCTTCTGCCCTCCTTGTGCCCCTCCCCCTGTTCACCACCTGTGTCCAGTGCCCCCGCCCCGGTGAGGTTTGGCAGAGCCGTGGACGAAGAAAGGGAGCAAGGGACTGGACTGGCTTCTGAAGGCTCAGGAAAGGAATCTTTAGCAAAATCAGTGAACTAGGGGAGCCGAGCTCTGGAGGTTCTGCCCCACACAGATTTCTTCCTGGAAAGTTGCCATGGCCTGGTTTGGGAAAGTGGGCAGGGTGTTCTTGAGCAGAGCACTGGTGGCAGAGAATGTGCTCCAAGCTGTGGACCCTTTCCCGAATCTTAAGTGCAGTCCATGGCGTGACTAATAACGATAACAGCTAACGTTTATCGAGCAATTCCCAGTGCACCAGGCACTGTGCTGGGGCTTTCTGTGGGAGATATGACTTCATCTCCACAGCATCCCTTTGAGGGTAGGTGATGTTATTTAATCCCAAGTTACAGATGGGACAGGTGAGGAAGCCAAGGCCGGGAGTCTTTTTCCCGAGGCCACGCAGCTCGTGATTGGTGAAAGGGCAGGCAAACCCAGCTCCGTCTGCTTCCAGAGTCTGCCTTCCTGGCGGCCCACCGTTCTTCTGTCCCAGGAAGACATGCCAGGCCTCTCGGCGCTCACTGGTGGGGTGGAGGGGAGAGGAGCAACAGGGCTGTCCCGTTCTGCGGGCGGGGGGATCGACAAAGGTTGGTTAGAAGAATCTCGCTCTGGCACAGCACCTCTCTGGAGACCCGAAGACGCAGAAGCCACAGCCTCGGTCCTTAAGGACCTCGCGATCCTGCATGTGTCCTACAAGGGAGCCTAGGCCCATGATGAGTGTCCCGGAGTTCTGAAGCTGGGGCGAGAACTTAGAGGCGGATTTCCACGGGCTGTGATGAGGGCACGGCAGCCGTGTACGAACACTGAGGGCCCTCAGCAGTTCTGATTTACTGGATTGTTCCAGTTTCGGGGCTACAGGTTTGACGAAGACGGTCCAGGTTCACTTGGCAGTAATTAGCGACCTTAGACACTCACAGGCCTAGGTTTCTTTTTAGTGTTTGCTTTTACTGCAGATGCTTTTTGCCCCTTCTTGACCCATTTGGGCCTTTCCAAGGCTGACCCTGAGGTGGAATTGACTTTCATTCACGTGGAATGATCATTCTCCCTGAGCGTTGACCCCCACTTTTGTTTTCCAAAGCCGCTGGGAAGGTCTAGAATGAGATCTTAGGGAGTAAAGGTAAGAAGCGAAGTGCAGTCGCTGTTTCTCCCTTGTTTCCTTCGATTTCTCTCCTCTGCCTCCTTGCCCCCCTGCCCCCTCCATGCTCTGCCCTCTAATCCTGGTACCTTCGGATGCTGTGTGGCTGCCACCAGAGAGCACCATTGCTCTTTTTTTTTTTTTTTAAGTTTTTGTTTTAATTCCAGTTAGTTAACACATAGTGTTATGTTAGTTTCAGGTGTACGATATAGTGATTCAACGGTTGCATACGTCACCTGATGCTCAGCACGACAAGCAAGTATCGTGCTCTTTGGGGGAGGATTCCAGGGAAACTGCTTCAGAAGCGGGTTGGTCCTGTTGGGCCACTCAGGAGGGTTTCTGAAGGCCAGCTTTGGCTCCTGGGGAGGAGGGGCCTCTGAAAGCTGGCATTTTTGGCCCTGGGCACTGTGAGTACCTCCCCGCCTCCCTCCTTTACCAACTGAGACGTGGGAAGTGGGTTTCCCCACAAGCAGCTGGAACCCTCGGCCTCTCCCTGGGCCCTGGGATGGATAAGTGTCTTAATTCCATTCCATCCGGTGTGATGAGTACGTATTGGACATCTGTGACGTGCCTCCAAAAGCTGGCCATCTGGTCAGAAAGACGTAGGTGCGCGGCACAATCTGAGGCTGACGCGAGACTGTGTAGTCAGTACCAGGTGCTCGATCGTGGTGCGGCGGAGAGCACAAAAGGACAAGTGAGGTCCCGGAGGCTGGAGTGGTGGCACTGGAGCCAGCCTCAGAGGCCGAGCAGGGTTCGGCTGTGTGGAGAGTGCTGACATCCAAAGGGACATGGTGAAGGCCCTGCTGGGGGCCAGCAAGGGAACAGATCAACCTGGACAGGGTTTGCTCAGAATTTCGGTCCGACTCCCTTGATCGGTAAACACCCTGTTCTCCTGAGCAAGGGCACGGAGCAGCCCTTAAGTGGGTCTCCGAGCAGTACAGCGGCTGCCCAGTGGCAGGCACTTCAACGTGTTTTGGAAGCCAGGCGACCCGCTTTCTTGTGTTCCATGTTACGTACGGTAGAGACACGTGTGCGCCCGTAACCCGTGCTGGCGCAGGGGAGGATTGAAGCGAGAATGCGGCAGTCCGCACGAGAACACACATCCTTGCCTCCCAGTCCCTTCTGGGGGTTCTGGGTCTTGTACCTGCCACGTCCCCCCGCCCCGCACCGTATCCATCTGCAAGGGAAACCAGCCGAGGGCTGGAGCCTGCCTGCCTCCAGTGTTTGAAGTTACCTGACAGTCTCCCCACAGCGGAGGCCGGAATGGGGGAGGAGAGGCTGGGTTCTGCTTTTCCCACCACTTTGCTGTGGAAGGGATTGGAAATCCAAGGAGGACGGTCCGGGGAGGAGGGCGCGAAACGGGCCGGCAGGGGAAAGACCTATCCAGGAGCCTGGAGGACGTTTGTAGACTTCTGCCTATGGTGGTGCTACGTAGCTGACTGCAGGCCCAGTGATGTTTCTCGCCTGCCTTCACCTCTCTGTCTCTTTCCTCCTAGATAGGTTTTGAATTCCCACCGTAGATATTTCTATGGAACACTAGCATGGGAGTGACGGTTCTTAACTGGCCGGGGCGACAAAGGCAGCCGTGGTGCCTTTTTGAAGTCCAGATGCCTGGGCTGCACTTGAGACCTGGGGCAGCCAGGCGTGGGAACTCGGAGCCTGGAGAGTTCTTACGCTCCCTGGTTCTGACGCACGCTGAAGGGAGGCCCCTTGCCCGGGCGTGTTGGGGTCTCCGGTCCCACGCTGCTTCCCTGGAGTGTCCCCCCACAAGCTGTGCCCCCTGCCCCTCCCACCCCTCCCCCTCTCACCCGAGCACCTGTAGAAAACTTAAGTAGTGAAGTCTTCTGTTTTATGTCACAGCTTCTCCTTAGTTTCTTTTCACCATCAGTCCCGGGGGAGTCTCAGGAACATTTTCCCGATATCCTGAAGTTGTTGGCACCTCACCCTAGATTAAAGGAACACGTAGAGTCAATGGCTACTGAAGGCACCAGTCATAATCTACCAAAGTTACCACAGGTAAAACTCAACTCGCCCAGCTCGCTCGTGATGCTTCGTTTGGCTGTTGTGTGGGCAGACGTGGGAGTGAGCCCTGCCTCTCCTTCGGTTCCTGAGAGAGAAGAAAAGGAGTCGCTGGTGGCCATGTTCTTTGCTAGGAGGTTATATTTCTTGCAGATAAAACTGGATTTCAGGCACGGTCCCCGGGTTGTTTTTTGTTTTTTTGTTTTTTGTTTTTTGTTTTTTAACCTTATTACAGTCGTTTTTCAGTTTTTGGTCAGATCCAGCTGAGGGAGAGATTTGACCGAAGTAGAAAGGAATCGCCCGCTTCCCCTGGAACCATTCATTCAATCCGGGTGGCTTTATCAGCTTGGGGGCGGAGCCTGGAAAGAGGCCTGACAACCCCTCCTTTCCTGCTTTTTTTTGTTGTTTGTTCAAGCTGCTGGTCTTTGAGCACCAGCTGAGTTCCTTGTGCAAAGACAACTCCATTTGATCCCCAAGCGGAGGTAGTTCTATATTCCCTCGCAGTGTCTTACACATGTGTAGACTTCCAGTATGTATTTGTAGCCAGGAAGAGGGAAGCAATTTGGGAAGCGTTAAGTCCCTGGGAGAAAGATGGGTATTTGCGCCTGTCTTTGAAAACGAGGGAACAGAACGAGAGAGAGATGGGCTCCAGGCCCTCGCTTTCCCAGCAGAGGGCAAGTGGGCGGAAGCCGGGGCTCAGGGGTCCAGACTTGAAGGCAAAGTTTAGCACTGAGCACCGAGGCACCTTGAGGCAACCGTCTCCCCTCCGTCCAGGCGGTGTGTTCTTCCCCTGTATGGAAGCCCTGTGATCTCCATGGCAGGCAGGGGCCTTCCATTTTCCCTGCTTCTGTCCCCACCCTGGAGAAGGAACAAAATGCAGGTGGGCCTGACTTTAAGAAAAAAGAGGGGGAGCAGGACTGAGTACCTCCTGGAAGCAGAGAACCCCAAGTGCATTTCAGTCATGTTTGAGATCACTGTTACATGATTGAGAACACTAATCGGGAGCTGGAGTGTCTGGAGTGGCTTCCCGTTGCAGCTGGAACAGAAAGGAAGGAAAATCACACCCCTGGCTTTTCCAGGGTGAGCCAGCTGGGAGCGGGGATCCGGCTTCCACACAAGCTTTGCTTTGCAAAGCAGTGTCTTCCCATGTGGATGCCTGGGGCTCGAACCCCTGAACCCCCCCAGGTTAGAGACTGAGAAAACCCATATCAAGCTCACTGACCTCTCCCGACCAGACGCCCCCCCATTTCCCCACCTATCTACCGATTTCGGGGCGGGGGGGGTGGCTCGGGGGTTGGAGGGGGAAAAAACCCACATGAGCATTTGGACTCCTGGACTGTGGATTTAGAGTAGGGTTCAGGGTTCTCCGGGTGAATCTGCACAAACACCCCCTGGTGTTTGGATTTACTTCTAGATCCATTTTCAAATACCCCCTCCTGGATGGAAATTCTTTAAAAGGCTAGAGACATCATTGGTCGTTTTGCCAAATGAGTTGTCTCTTTTTCACTTTTCGCCCAAAAGCCAGTCGAAAGAGTGGTTTGTCCCTGATTCTTTTGACCCGTGTAACACGGGGCTCTGGTACCTGTGGTAACCCTGCAGGCCTATGCCAGAGCCTTAGCGAAAGTCCTTTTGGAGCTGGGTGTGGGGCTCACAGATGGCCTGGAAGGGCAGCGAGAGCGACAGGAAGGATCGAGTGACAGGACCTGCCCTCACCGCCTGTCTTTGTTTCCCTCAGGTGGTAACGGGAAAGATTTGGCCAGGAGAGGGCCCGGTGGTGCCACACTCTGCATCTGTCCCCTTTATCGCAGCCCAAGGAGTCTGTCCCCTACATACCCTTCTGTCCTCGCCCAGGGAAGGTCGTCAACTTCACCCAGGCCAGGCATGCCTTTGCTCCTTAAGCTGGGTGTCCACTAAATGATCAGGGCTGTGCAGTTTTCTCTCTGCCCCCGGTGGGTAGCGATGTCAGAGGATGATCCTGGGCCCGAGTTGGTGCTGACATTTGGCTCTTTCTTCGTCCAGGAAAGCCGGGAGCTCCCGCACTGCTCTAGTCAGGAGGAAGCAGCGGCCGCGGGAGACCGCAGCAGCCTGGAGAACCCAGTTAAAGTAGAGGGGGAGGGGCAAGAAGGCAACGGGAAAGGCCAGGCAGGAGACCAGGAGGAGAAGGGGGATGCTGCCTCTGCCAAGGCTGGCAAATGCCAAGAAAAGAAAAGGAAACGTTGTCAATTTGGACCCCAAGACCCAGAGGTGCCTACTAAAGCCAGAAAGCCAGGTACTGACTCTACCCAGGGACCAAGGGGCTTGAAGGAGGTGCCTGGGCTCACCGGCATATGCGGGTTCCTTAGCCTCCATCCAAGGGCTCCGCGGGCTCCCTGGGCTCTGGGTGTGCGGCCCGGCTCTGGCACTTAGCTGTGCCGCCTCAGGTCATGGTGAAGCTTCTGTGAGAGCGCACGGTTTGCTAGCATACTGCCGGGGCTCGCTAATAACAGAAAGCCGAGGCCTGAGGTCAAGCCCCGTATAGAGTAGTGACACCTCGTACCCTTGATGGTGTCGCCTTCCAGGCCAACCTGTCCCTACCCTCCTCTCCGTTCCAGGAATGTAGGGGCAGGGAGGCGTGATCAGGCTTCACGCTCATCCTTCCCAGCTGGGCGCCCGCAGGTAGGCAGTTGAGAAGCAGCAGCCACAGCCCGGTGTCTTTCCGAGAGAGGCTGGCGGTGCCGAGGTTCGGTGTCGGCTTTGAAGGCCTCGCTCGGCCCAGGGAACCGCTGCCTCTGTAGAGTGAGGTGCCTGTTGCATTGGAGTGAAGTCCCCAGGGCTCCCGGACGTTCCCTGGTTCGCATCTCTCTTCCCGTGGGCCTGCTGGAAACCTACCAGGGCCTCCCTCAGGGGACCCCACTCCCAGTGGCTCGGGTGGCCACCGAATCAACCCTCTGGGAGGCGCTGAGGGTGGAAAGCTGAAAATCTAGTGGGGTGGTTCTGCCTCAGAAGTGCTGACTGTGCAAGCCAGCTTGGTCTGCCTCTGACATACTGCTTTCTAAATCACAGATCCTCCCGCTGACCAGGGGGCCAGAGCTGCGGTCAGTGCTCCACTCCCGTCCTTTGATGCATCTGACCTTGAATGCTCCCTGTGTATGAGGTATGTGAAGGGTACTATTGCTTACTGCCTGAAGCTGCTTTTTCTGGGGGGATTCTGGACCTTTCTGCCAGTGACCTACCGTTTGGTTGGTTAGCACGGAAAAGCATGGTTCTAACAAAATGAAAATCTTGCTGTTGGTTGTCACACGGGCTAGCTTGTGTCCCTTGCTTACAGATTACATTCCCTGCACTCCTGACTGGGAAATACCTAGACAGTGGGGAGGAAACGGTCCACTCAGAGTCGCAAACTGATGGCCACAGGCTGAATGTCTTTAGTGTGGCCTTCACGGGAGTTTTTTGGTTGTTGTTAAATGTGAATGCTCCGAGACAGGACACACGCTCTCCAGTTGGGCCATGGCTCCCCTCTCCCCCCACCACCTGACAGTACCAGCCTGTGTCTCATATTTGCATTACTTTCCTGGCACCTCGTAGGTAGCTGAGTTCCTGACCGTGGAACGAATCGCAACTGCTCGATCAAGATCTCAAAGCTCAGGGGCTAATGTCGATGCCATGGGCCTGTTCTTTGGCAGTCAAGTAGAGGGCCCAACTGGTTTTTGTTTCGAACAGTGTTAGTACTAGGCACGTACTGCTCGGCCTGGCATCTCTTCTCTACCCAGTGGGGAGGCAGATTATGCACACACCTGCCCACCCCTCCCCTCAAAAAAAGCATGGTCTGCGTGCAAAAAATTACATCCGTCTGTTTCATTTCACAGCTGTGACTTTGTGGCTAAGAGGATGAGCTCCAAAGCCAGACAGGGTGGGCCTGAGCCCTGGCTCTGCCGTTCACTGGCTGTTCGGCCTGGAGCAAGTGATCTTCTTTGCCACTGTTTTCTCGTCAGTAAATAGGGGAGAGTATTACCTACCCTGTGAGGTTGTCATGATTGAGAGACTCTCAGTTCTCTTATTAGAATAGTGCTTGACATAGAGTAAATACTCCATAAATGGGAACTTTTTTTCCTAGGCCAGAGATTCTTCAACTTTAGGCCCCCGGACCCCTGAGGAAGTTCTATGTGTGGATTCTACATAGATCTATGAATTGCCTCAAGTTGTATGTAAAAATGTGTGTGTGGGGGGGGGGGGGGGGGGGGGG